CCCGATGGTTCGTCGGTTTGTGCCGAGCTGTGCTAAGGGACCTATAAGCAATTTTATACGCCTACACACCTCACCCCCGCCGTGCCCTATCCTCCTCCGACTAGCAACAACCCTGACGCCTCCCTCGACCCAGATCTGTCACGCTATCGCCTTCCCTTCAACCGTCGCCGCTGCCCGCCCACGGATCCGTAGTCTCGCACGTCGACGTCGATTCATTCGACGAACCGAGGCAAGATCCCGCTTCCCTTTGCTTCGTTATTTTAATATTTATATCTGATTAATTAGTTGCGTAGATTATACTGATATTATATTATCTGCATGGGTTTGTTGATAATACTGTGGTGGTTATATTTTGTGCAGTGATGCTATATATGATGAGTGGAAATATTGAAAAATGGTTTATGATTAATTACAAAATGTTGTTGAAAGAAAAAATAATTTTGTAAAAGGGATTATTCTGAACTATTGTTATGAGAAATATTTTAAAAGAATTTATTTCGGAAGAAGTAATATTAAATAGAATATTTAAAGATTATTTTAGATTTATTGTAATGAGAAAAGAATTTACTTTGTGTAAAAGAGATTATTTTAGAATAATAATTTAAAAGAGTTTATTTTATAAAAAGATTATTTAAATAAATAAAGTTATGATTTTTTAAAGACTGTTAGATTATTATAATGAAAAATAATTCTAAAAGAAATTATTTTGGAAAAAGAATTATTTTCTGAATTACGTAGTTGCTGTTCATGATTACATTTCGTGTTTTGTGAATATTTTACTATATTCCACATGTCATGATGTGGTTGCGGGAAATTAGTGTTATTATTATCTACTTATTGTGTTTGAGAACCTTAGTAGTTCATGACTTAGTGGCCTAGTGCGTCATGAACATACTTAGTGACATGTGTGAGTGTGTTGACTGAGTTTAGGCGGTGAACCCAGGTTTTCAATGAGGTTTATGGTTGACTTAGAAAATACAAGAGAGTTGGGATGGGGAAGTCCATGTTTATGTGATCGGATAAGACTGTTGATGTATCTTTCAGGCTCGCGCCAGTGAATTCGTGTAGTCACTGGGGTTGGTTTGTTGGGCTAAAGTGAATTCGTGTAGTCACTTTAGTCAGTGAATTTGTGTAGTCACCCGAGTTCTGCTTGAGTTCAGACCAGGCCAAAATCGGATTCCGTGTAGTCCTCTGACCGATTTGTGTAGCGGTATTGGATGCGCGTAGAGGATTTGTGAACAGTCAGTTATCCGGTAATATGAGCGTTGACTCTGTGTGAGATGTGGACCAGTGAGTTTTAGGATGGCTAGTTACATGACCTCGTTGCTTGGCTAGGTATGGATTACTGTGAGATGTAGGATAGTTGTGTTTCTTTCATACATAGATCGGGGTTAATATTTAATTATCTATAATTTGAGACATATGGTATATACATGAGGGTTTTCTTGTTTGGATTATTTCGCTCGACGTACTACGTCTCTTGTTGTAGATTTTTAGGTATTAATTCCATCTATTGTATGCCCCTGTCACTTGGATGATTAGACAGATCGCTAGCTACATGATCTCGTTACCTGATGTGGCATAAACATGTACCAAAAAGGTTGCAAGTGCACAACCGTGTCAAGTTATAGTATTTAAGATATCGATCCCACGAGGAAGGTGTTTTTGTAGGAGAAAATATAAAATTGGGTCTTATGTTGTGTGCGTGACAAAGAAGATTGATGAGTGAATGTGATTGTGAAGAGATTGAGATAGTGAAAATGGTGTGTAAATAGGTACAAAGTGTAAGTGAGAGTGGCATTGAAAAGCAATGAGTATGATCAATAAGGTGAGAAGGAAAAATGAATAAAATCAAGAAACAAATTTTAAAAAAATCAAGAAGTGAAGAACAAAATTCTAAGAAATAAAGAATGTAAAAACAAATTTAAAAAGATTGGTGAGGAAAGTTCAACTATAGATATATGAGTAATCTAGAATGCACCCATCGTTCCTTAGAAATGGGTGATTCCGCATAGAAGGATTCTTACGATGAATAGGCGATCAGACAAATATGAGAAAAAACAAATAAAGAAAACTAAAACACAAGAGGGTTCTAGCCTCAAGGTGAATAGTTATAAGAAATTAAAATCTAACTAGCAAAAAATTACAGAAATCATAAACAACAAAAACTGCACGTGACTGAAAACGTTGCAAGAATTAAATGCATGGAAATAATCATACTACTATAATAGCATAAAATAATCCTAGCAAGAAGGTTCTAGGCCTCTTGGCTTATTTCAACAAAAAATACAAATCATACTACAAGCATAGAAAATAGACATCTACAATTGACTAATACACCAATAAAGATAAAAGAAAAGAAATACAAACCTTCAGAATAATTCTCCATCTTCATCTTTCATCTTCATACATCCAATACAAGAGAAGAAGAAGAAAAATTTAAAAGTGCGTGAAAGAAATTAATATTATTAATTACAACAAAAGTTATAATTTTGGAAGACCTTCTCAATGTAAGAGTAGCCCTCGCTCTCAAAAGAGTTACAAAAATTTTCACACCGCTTAAACGCCCTCACCCTCATAATCCATATTTATAGTAATCTTCAATGAATATGAGCCATTGATTGTCTTTGAGCGCAAGCAAGAATCTCCACCTTTGAATTTGGTTTTGTTCTTCTCTAGCGCCCAACTTATTTGATTTTCAAGGAGAAAATAAACATTGGTAAGTCGCCCATAGGTTTTAATTTGCACAATTAAATCAAGCTTCCAATTCATTAAGATCATTTGATTTTCAACTAACCAGTCGCCCATGCAAGCCAATCACACAATGAAACCGCCCCATATGTTTGGCATGTTCTTGGAGGGTACATCTTGACTTTTTGAGAAATGTACCACATGCTTGAGTGCCAACGTAAGCAGTCCCAATTCGGTTCAGTTAGAAGAAGTCTGCTAGTACAATTTTGCGCTATTAATACTCCGCAAGTCGCGCATGCTTGGTCCAGCACCTAGTCCGGCGGCTCCTCAATCAATGGATGTATCTACCAAAAATCAAGCAAAAGTCCAAGCAAGAGCCACAATGCCCGGCCCATT